TTCATTGCTGTTTCTGCTGTGGCTGCCCTGTCCATTGCTTGTGACTCCGAAGGTTGCTTTGTTGCTGCCTCCTCTGAAGGAGCCTTTGCTGGTGGTGCATGTTCTACGTGTGGTGCTGCTGCAGCTGTTGCTGGTTGCCTGCTCAGTTTGTTGGAGGCGTCTTCTTCAGCATCATCATGGTGCTGCAATGCTACGAGAGGTACCTGGAGCTCACTTTGAACTTGCCGAGTGTGAGGAAACTGCTCTGATGGGGCTGACTCTGTGATAGCTGGCTGTGGATGCTCTTGCTCCCCCAGCAAGAGCAGCTGGATGCTGCTTGTAGAAAACTCTGGAGTAACCTTGGCAAAGGAAAACGCGAGCTGTCAAATACCCCTTGCGTATAATATATATATAATACATATATATATTTATATAGGCAGTAAAACAATATATATATATATAGATAGAGAGGTGAGGTAATATTGTGTATGCTTCGCATATGTGCAGCAACCCTTTGGAATTCACACCAGCCCTCAAACAAAGCAAGCCAAACTTGAGACACAAAAGGTATGCTGGACAACCCTTTTCACGGTGATACACACGCTTTTATAAAATAATGGATGCTGACCAGGAACCCTTGCCGGCAAGTGTAGCGTTCCTTTCTGCTCACGGCTAGCAGGAACCAGCAAGCAGTAGTGTCCGTATGCATCCTGGTTTGCTACAGGCCTCTTGAAGTGAAAGTACAGGTGGATTTGAGGTTCATCCGGGCCAAAGATCATATCCAAATTGAGTCCATTTGAAGTTCCAACCTGCAACACACCACACTTAGAACATCCCAGAAAGTCTCAGATAACATTAGAGCATGCCTTTGCAAAAAGGTAATAGACATATGACACATATGTGCACAGAACAAGCACCGGGCATGTTTGTTTCAACTTGCCCAGCCTGGGAGCAGCACGTGCAACGGATGGAGATGCTGAGAGCTTGTGCTATCCACTCCAAGTCAACCGGTGCAAAGTAGCCAGTGTTTTCCACTGATTGGATTGAAGCAGCATGACCCGGGAAAGCATCATATGCAGCTGCACACACAGAAGCACAAAGTCTTTTTGCAGCAGCTTCCTCCTGCTGTAGTAGCCTCGGGTTGAGAGGATACATCGTGTCCTTGCGAGGCACTTGCAAATACCTCTGCACATTTTGGGCTGCCAGCATGGAATGCCAACCACACCAGCCATCAGCAATTGTCTCAACCTGCTGGAAGCGTGACATCTTCATTTCATTTTGGCGCTTTTCTTTCATGAGTATATCAGTCTGGGACTTGAGGTGCTTCAGGACTGATGCGCAAACTTGCTTCGCAGTAGCTTCAATATGTGAAGTCCCCAGGTCATTGATCCAACATATGTTGTAGCAATGCCTTTTGGTTCTGTCCTTTGGCTGGGTCACCCAAGAAGCAGAGACTGCCTTCATTGATCCCTCATCGGTCAACTCCCAGCAAGCTAAATCACCAGCACAGTTTGTTGAGAAGTCGACTGTCACCAGCAATGGGGTAGAGGAATCAAGCATGTCAAAAACCTGCTTCTTATTTCCTGGCGCGGCCCATTCATCAAAAGAACCCACCACTACAGCTCCGACAAAGTGCAAGTTCAATGCCTTGCAACGCGCAGCCACTCGATCATGTTCAACCAGCTCTTCTACACTTGTTGTTGAGAGAACAAATTGCATTGCATGCACTTTGGAGTTCCATGCCACTTTGCCCAACAACAGTGCGACGGTGGAAGGATTTGATGCCGCCAAAGTGCAGAAAGAATTGGGGCTCCCTCTGTGAATGCATACCGCTGACATAGGAAGAGGGGCTGTGTGCATTCGCGTAACTTGCAGGAAGTCCTTTGTGATGTCAGTCTCAGCATTCTCCAACTTTGGACTGCCCTGCAAAGCCTCAACAGCGGATGGGAAAGCTTCTGCTGGTTGACTTGACATAGCCTTTGTCAGGCTTACCTCAGCTGCAACCTCCTTGGCTGCAGCACGAAAGCTCTTTTCGATCCCTCCATGTTTGAGAGACTCTGCCATGCTCAAAAGCCAATCTCCAGCAGCTTTGTAGGTATCAAAAGTCTTTGTGATGATGGTATCACCTGCATTGAAACTGACACGTAGTTTTCCAAGAGGTTTACCAACCTCAACTTCAGCACAGCCAGTCATTTGTTCCAGCTTTGTTGCCTTCAAAATGGTTTTCTCAACCTCCAGCACAAGACCATTGGCGCACCTGTCCATCACGTTTTGCCGTTGCCTAGCCAGTGCTCCGGCTGTTGAAAAGCCATGCTTGGCCTGCCATTCTTGTCGAATCTTTGCCTCACATGAGCGTGAACAGGAAGGTGCGCACATATATACTCTATACTGTATATATATATATATTATATACATATACATAAAGCTAGGTGTATATTTACTCAATATTCCAGCTCAGCCAAATAAAACATGCTCAGTACGAGGCAAACATGTTTGATGAAGAAAGCCGATGGGCTTTGCCCTTGCCCTGCATGCTGTCAAATGTAGCCAACAAGTCCTGGCACACATTGAAGAAGGCCAGGGCTGCATTCTTTGCAGCTTCAGGGGTGCAAAACGATGCCTTCTGAAACTTCCGAATGTGGCAATCAAAGCGCACCGAATACCTGAGATTCCATCCAGGGAGATACACTTAGAACATAGTCAGGAAGGTGTGATTTCTCATCAATATGAATATGTTTGATCTTGGCTTCCCTTCCGGAGGTAATAAAGGATTGTATCTATATAATGGCCAATGTCTCTAGTAAAGCCTTTCAAATGTATATAAGGCTGCTGTTCATTTATGTTTGGATGTCTTTGGGAGAGGGTGTCCCAAGAAATAGCAAGGGTGAACACACACACACACACTTAGAACATTCCCCAAAAAAGGCTCCCGGACCAGATTATATACAAGATGGGTGTCAAAAAAATGTGTGTGTGTATATATATATAGCTGAAGGATTTTGCTCCAAGTTTCCCATATTGGAACGATTGAACGCCCTTCGGAAGCACGTCAGGCTCGGGGGGAGGTGGCTCCACAGGTGGCGGAAGTGGTGGCTCCGCCGCCATGGAAGTGAGGTTGGGCAAACAGCTCAAGTTGCCGCTGAGCCAGAATGCTCCATGAGCAAAAAACATCCCTAGCACTTCATGTCTCCAGCACCAAACACGCCACCGCTCTTAGGTTTGAG